TCTTTTTCAGTACACTCAGTATCAGTGAATCCACATCGTTATTCGTATCAGTTTCTTTGTGGTAGTTCTTCACGAGGAAGATGCAGTTCAGTGGAATACCCAGTTCCACGTTCACTGTGTCCATCTAAGTTTAAACAATATTACATTTAAAAAACTGAAACTGTATTCTTGCACTAGTGACATAATTATAAATTACTTATTCAAATATTTGTACTCATTATATCTGAGGTTTCTGTTCAAATATACTGAAATGTACAGCTGAATTTCAGATGTGACATCCATGTGTAAACTGTCTACAAACTCATGAAACTTATGAAAGTCCTGGAACATACCAGCTGATTCAAGTGCTTGCTCCTGTAGGCGTTCGTTATGTCTTTTTTGACTTCAGGACAGGCTTCATCAATTTTAGTGATAACAGCTATTTGTGGGATCCCTGCCAATACAGAAAGCAATGCAATCATTTTATCTCATGTTTTTCTACTATTTGAAATCGTGACATCATACATGTAGAACATCTGCTCTCACCTTTGTCACGAGCATGTCGTCTGACTTCTGTCATCTTCTTCCATGTTTCCTCACTGATTAGGCTCACTTTGTCAGCAGGAACAGCAAAAACCAGAATGTGGACTTTGTCATCTAAAGTAGGAGAACTGTTGTAGTCAGGATCTGATTCACGCAAAAGAGCTGTGGGTTTGAACTGGGGGAAAAAAAAGCAAAGTCACTTAAACCTTTTTGCACGATACAGTTTCTGTATCACAGACTGTGTACAAGCATCTGGATGAAAAACATCATACCGTGTAACCTTCTTTGACATGTCCACTCATGGCAAGTTTGATGTCTTCCACATGAATTCCTCCCTCAGTGCCCTTCTCAAGCCCCATGGTGTCAGTGAAGACAAAGGGGTAAAAGGTTTCTGGATTTCCTTTCTGAATTTTAAATGTCCTGTACTGTAAATAAAAAAATGTGGTGTTGTTATATTAGTGCCAGATGCTAAAGATCCTAAACAGTTTTTAAAATAATTTACACACTAGTTGTGCTGACTATTTTTCACTTGTTTATAGTTTAATGCTGATAAAGCAGCTACCACTGCAGTGTGCTCCTGTAGTCATAGAAAACCTCAAAGGAAATGAGTGTGCAACTATGATAAGAATAGATGCATCCTCATACATACTGCATTAGTGAAACTGACACCAGAGGTTGCGTCTGCCAGTGCTCGAGTTGCGATTTTGCCTCTTAAAGTACTGTCGACAGAGTTGATGAAGCTGGACTTTCCAGCACCTGGTGGTCCATGAAGCATGATTCTGAGATGCTGGACATCTTTGTGAGGCTTGTAATCTCTGACAAGCTTCAGTTCTCGCTCTCTTTCACTGTTCATTTAGAAAATTACAATAGGATTTAGTGTGCACTTACAGTTTACACAACAGTGTTATTAACAAACACAAAATAACACAACAAACAAACAAAACACTTGAGGGGTGTACTACTGAGACAGGCTGACATCTGTTTTCTACTACCTGCAATTTCAGAAGCCTGAAATAACCAAATATGCATTTCTGTGTCACCATGTGAAACTATGTGAATTCCACATTGCGACTCAGAGGTTTGTGCTGCTGTAACAATTTGAATGTATAAAATGTATTCAGCAGAGAATCACTTACACTGACATCAGAATGAGCGAAAATGTGACACCCACAGATGGGTTTAAAGTCAAATTGAACGAATATTAAACATAAGTTACCACAATGATCAAACAGGTTAAAAGAGATTGATTTTGTGATATAAAATTGTGACTCTAGGATTAACACAGGTGAAATTAAATGGTTAATCTTAATAATTTTAGTACACCTCTCTAAGCAACCACACCCTTAATACTCACCCCCATGGTATGATCCTCTCTTCTACCTCTAACACTGTAAAGTGAAAATGTTAATTGTATGAGTCACACTGGAAGGGCAACGTTATAAGTTAATTACACATTATGTATTAAGGCTGTTACACACTGAACGTGTTGCATATTTTGAGGAACGCACTGTGAAAACTTAAAATGAAGCCAACGTCAAATGATGACGAGCTGAGAAAAGAAACTAAGAAAACAGCAGCAGGGAGAATTTAACGGTTGGATCCAGGAGCTGAAGCTGTGTGTTCGTACATAGTTCTAGATGTCAGTGGGACAGTTTGAGCCGAGGCAGGAAAATGATTTCAGAAAGCCGCATTGAGTAGCTGTGTGTCTACGGTAAATAGTATGACATGATTACACTTCCTGGAATTCTGCTGCTCAAACTGTCAGTGTGAACAGCTGCATTAGCTGCACTAACGGATGAGTCCGAAAAATGTTTTTAGACCAGAAAATATTTGCGCAGATTTTACGTGTCCGGTGTGTAAAAGCCTCAAGTTTTTTCCTCAGGACTAAATAATTTTGTATCATATTTAAAATATCTTACGAGAAGGTGGTGAGCGATTACCTGCAATTGAAATATGACAAAGTAAAAACATGTTAGCAACACTTTTCCATATTCAGTTCAGTTCTATTAGATTTTCCAGTCAAATGAAATGTTACTTTTTGCCACTTTCAAACCAAAGGACATTATGGTAACTTTTCTGTTGTAAAATAACAAACATCTATAACAAATTCAGATAAAGATCACTCGAGTCTCCAGCATTTCCTGATTTCAAAACTGTTCAGTCCAGTCAAGCCAGTTTTACTTGTGTAGCTCAATATTACATGTTAAACCCATGAGGGCTTCACAAACATGACAATATAGGTCAAATTAAAAGAGAAGGACGAAGCAAACCACCAACAATGAATATGAAATGAAAAAAACTGCTTACCCAAAAAGATTTTTTTTAAATTCAACATTTTTTTGTCATCAACTATCTGTGAATTAAACAAGCAAAAAAGACACTAAATTATAAAACAGTAAATTCTTTAAATTCTTCTTGAAATTAAATTATTTTAACTTGACACATGTCAACCAAGTGTGAGATGACTCAATAAAGGTCAATTTAATAATTTAATAACTGGATTTCCTGCATTGTATTATTAACATAGTGTTACCGTACCTGAATGCCCAACTGTGCTGTGAAGTTGGTGTGTCTTGGTTGTTGTTCACACTGATGTAGATGATGT